CCAAGAGTTTCCACAACAGCAGGGGGCACACATCGTCCACTAGCCTGGCCAGACGGTGGCCCAACGTCTAGCCCAACGCTTAGACACCAGTAGCCGTACAATCCCACCGGCCCTTTGGGCGACTGGTGGTCTAGTAATGATTTTCTCTCCTCTTCCAAAATCCCCTCTTCCCCTTCGGGGCGGGGTTTATCACTGTTCCCTATTAATATACACCCCCTCCCCCAAGCGACTGGGAGCCAACCCAGGTCCATGCGGGCCCCCACCACCATCCCTGGTAAATTACCCTGTGACGTACCCGACCCATTTGTATCAATGGAAACGAGGAATTGTCTGGAACTTGCATGGACAATCAACTTGATGTGTAAGCTACTTGGGACACGCGCCTATGGCATGATGCGCAGGAAAACCATACAAGAACGAGGGGCGACAACTACAGGCTCGAAGAGGACATGGGGAGTCGGGAACGCAGAGCAGGAGAAAAACGTGCGGAAAGCCGAACCATGAGCACGGCAGCAGCAGAGGGAAGGTGACTGCAGGCGGAGAACAAGGACGAAAGCGGCGTCTAATTTGAGTCTGCGGTGGGTACCCACTGTGCTGTGCCCCTCAGCAGCCCTCGAACGTGGCGACGGTTTCACAGATCGCAGCCCCCCAGGGATGGCGAGGTCTAATTTGAGTCTGCGGTGGGTGCCCAGTGTGCTGTGCCCCTGAGCAGCCCTCGAAAGTGGCGACAGTTTCACAGATCGCAGCCCCCCAAGGATGGCGAGGTCTAATTTGAGTCTGCGGTGGGTACCCACTGTGCTGTGCCCCTGAGCAGCCCTCGAAAGTGGCGACAGTTTCACAGATCGCAGCACCCCAGGGATGGCGAGGTCTAATTTGAGTCTGCGGTGGGTAGCCACTGTGCTGTGCCCCCCAGCAGCCCTCGAAAGTGGCGACGGTTTCACAGATCGCAGCCCCCCAGGGATGGCGAGGTCTAATTTGAATCTGCGGTGCGTACCCACTGTGCTGTGCCCCTCAGCAGCCCTTTGAAAGTGGCGACAGTTTCACAGATCGCAGCCCCCCAAGGATGGCGAGGTCTAATTTGAGTCTGCGGTGGGTACCCACTGTGCTGTGCCCCTCAGCAGCCCTCGAAAGCTGCGACAGTTTCACAGATCGCAGTCCCCAGCAGCCCCCGAAAGTGGCACAGGGATGACCAGGTAGGAGGCAGGCTGGCACGCAGCGACGAGCGAGGTAAAAGGGAAGGAGGGAAGGAAAGAGGGAAAGAAGAAGGGAAGGAAGGAGACGCGCGAGCAGTGCTCTATTCAAAACGAGAACCCAACGCAGGAGGGTTGGGAAAAACAATACAAAACACACTCTGCCCACACCATCCCTTGCAACAAACAATACAACACACACACACTGTCTTTAAATCCGGAGCATGCGCAGCAAACCCGATGCGGCCTCCCCCCACCATCCCTGTCAAATTACCCTGTGACGTACCCAACCCATTTGTATCAATGGAAACGAGGAATTGGCCGAAACTTCCATGGACAATCAACTTGATGTGCAAGCTACTTGGGACACGCGCCTATGGCATGATGCGCAGGAAACCCATACAAGAACGAGGGGCGACAACTACGGGCTCGAAGGGGACATGGGGAGTCGGGAACGCAGAGCAGGAGAAAAACGTGCGGGAAGCCGAACTATCAGCACGGCAGCAGCAGAGGGAAGGTGACTGCAGGAGGAGAACAAGGACGAAAGCGGCGTCTAATTTGAGTCTGCGGTGGGTACCCACTGTGCTGTGCCCCTCAGCAGCCCCCGAAAGTGGCGACAGTTTCACAGATCGCAGCCCCCCAGGGATGGCGAGGTCTAATTTGAGTCTGCGGTGGGTACCCACTGTGCTGTGCCCCTCAGCAGCCCTCGAAAGTGGCGACCGTTTCACAGATCGCAGCCCGCCAGGGATGACGAGGTCTAATTTGAGTCTGCGGTGGGTACACACTGCGCTGTGCCCCCCAGCAGCCCTCGAAAGTGGCGGCAGTTTCACATATCGCAGCCCCCCAGGGATGGCGAGGTCTAATTTGAATCTGCGGTGCGTACCCACTGTGCTGTGCCCCTCAGCATCCCTCGAAAGTGGCGACGGTTTCACAGATCGCAGCCCACCAGGGGTGGCGAGGTCTAGTTTGAGTCTGCGGTGGGTACCCACTGTGCTCTGCCCCTCAGCAGCCCTCGAAAGTGGCGACATATCACAGATCGCAGCCCCCAAAGGATGGCGAGGTCTAATTTGAGCCTGCGGTGGGTACCCACAGTGATGTGCCCCCCTCAGCAGCCCTCGAAAGTGGCGACGGTTTCACAGATCGCAGCCCCCCAGGGATGGCGAGGTCCACTGTGCTGTGCCCCATCAGCAGCCCTCGACAGCTGCGATAGTTTCGCAGATCGCAGCCCCCCAGGGATGGCGATGTATAATTTGAGCCTGCGGTGGGTACCCACTGTGCTGTGCCCCTCAGCGGCCCCCGAAAGTGGCGATAGTTTCACAGATCGCAGCCCCCCCAGGGATGGCGAGGTCTAATTTGAGTCTGCGGTGGGTGCCCACTGTGCTGTGCCCCTCAGCAGCCCTCGAACGTGGCGACAGTTTCACAGATCGCAGCCCCCCAGGGATGGCGAGGTCTACTTTGAGTCTGCGGTGGGTACCCCCTGTGCTGTGCCCCTCAGCAGCCCTCGAAAGTGGCGACAGTTTCACATATCGCAGCACCCCAGGGATGGCGATGTCTAATTTAAATCTGCGGTGGGTACCCACTTTGATGTTCCCCTCAGCAGCCCTCGAAAGTGGCGACAGTTTCACAGATCGCAGCCCCCCAGGGATGGCGAGGTCTAATTTGAATCTGCGGTGCGTACCCACTGTGCTGTGCCCCTCAGCAGCCCTCGAAAGCTGCGACAGTTTCACAGATCGCAGCCCCCCAGGGATGGCGAGGTCTAATTTGAGTCTGCGGTGGGTACACAGTGTGCTGTGCCCCCCAGCAGCCCTCGAAAGTGGCGGCAGTTTCACAGATCGCAGCCCCCAGCAGCCCTCGAAAGTGGCACAGGGATGACCAGGTAGGAGGCAGGCTGGCACGCAGCGACGAGCGAGGTAACAGGGAAGGAGGGAAGGAAGGAGGGAAGGAAGAAGGGACGGAAGGAGACGCGCGAGCAGTGCTATATTCAAAACGAGAATCCAACGCAGGAGGGTTGGGAAACAAAAACAATCCAGAGTACACTTGGCGGCGGCGGCGGCTGCGGCGGGGGCGGCGGCTGCGGCGGCTGCGGCGGTGGCGGCGGCGGGGGCGGCGGGGGCGGCGGGGCGGCGGGGGCGGCGGCGGCGGCAGCGGTGGCGACAGCGACTGCGGCGGCAGCGGCTGCGGCGGCGGCGATTTGGCAGCGGCGGCGGCGGCGGCGGCGGCGGCGGCGGCAGCGCGGTGGCGGCGGCAGCGGCGGACAGCGGCGGCGGCGGCGGCGTCGGCGGCGCGGCTTCGGCGGCGGCGGCGGCGGGCGGCGGCGGCGGCGGCGGCGGCGGATTGGCCCTCAGTAGCTGGCCATCCAACGACGACTGCTGCATATGCTGCGGCTCGGGTGCTACGTATATGTTGGGAGGGCGGGTGGGGGTGAGCGAGACGGCTTGCGGGCGGGGAGGGAGACTTTTCACCCCTCCCCCTTACCCCCTCCCCTGGACCTGGACGGGGGCGGCCGCGAGCGGTCAGATCGGTCCTTTTTCGGCCCCTGGGAGGGCAATCTTTTGACACTTGTCACGAGGATCGTGGCCTCCGAGGAGAGGGTGGGAGGGGGGGGGGGGGGGGCAAATCTAGGACCCCCCCTCGTTCGACCGACCGCCTTCAAGATGACCCCAAGAGGCGCTCCAGGGCTCCCAAGAGAGCCCCAAGACAGCCCCTTTGGGCCACAAGACAGCCCCGAGACGGCTCCAAGAGGCCCCCCGAGCGGCCTCAGAGAGCCCAAGATGACCCCCAAGATGGCTAAGATAACCCAGGCTGGCTCAAAATGGTTCCCAAGATGCCCCAAACGGCCCCAAGACCGCTCCAAGAGCGCTCCAATAGAGCCCAAAGAAGCGGTTTGCGGGCTCCTGAGGAGGGAGCTGAGTTGGGACCCCCGCTTCCTGTAATCGATGGCCTCCAAGATGATCCCAAGAAGCCTTCCAGGATTACCAAGAGGGTTCCAAGAGGGCACAAAAACTCCCAGAGAGCACTAGCAGCAGCAGCAGCCGCAATAATACCTCTAGATGGTTCCATGAGTCCTCGTCCGTATCGTCCTCATCCTAGTCCTCGTCCTCGTCGTCCTCGTCCTCATCCGCGTCCTCGTCCTCCTATTCCTCCTCGTCCTCATTCTCCTCCTGCTCCTCCTCCTCCTCCTCCTCCTCCTCCTCTTCCCATCGCCCCCACGCGGCCCCCAGAGATGGCCAGAAGAGGCCTTCCAAGGCCTCCCCCCTTGCTCCCAGAGATCTCTCGGTTCACCCTGGTTGCTCGCTCTGTTTCCCTAGATGTGCCTATTCGTCCCTTTTCCCGTCAGCTCTCGTGGGCAGGGCTTCTGAATGGGCTGGTGGGGATGCACGAAGCGCGAAGAATTGGACTCTTCTATGTTATGGAAACACTATTTTTGACGACCAACCCTGATGTTAGGCGAGCCCACAGACAGTTCACGGAGGCCCCCAAGAACGGTACATGAGACCATATCGAATTCTTCTTTGTGTTAATGGTCGCCCTCGTGCTCCCCGAAGGCTTTCCAAACCGACTCGGGGAACACGTGGCTCGATAGCTTGGCCAAGCTCTGACCCAACTTTCGGCCGCATAGGCGCCTCCAAAGAGCCAGGGGGCGGCGGTGATTCGCCGTAGGCGTCTTCGAAAACCAGACTGCAACACAAGCGTTCGGAGGTCCGCGTGGATTCCTTAGACTTGCGGAGCGCGCCAGGGGACGCCAGCGCCGATCCAAGAAATCCGCAAGGACCCACAAGTTCTGTTTACGAGGCTTTTGACCCTCCGAGCCTTGGCAGCTCGGCGCCTCCCGTGGCGAGGGTGGCCCGGGGCGGCGAAGGCGCTCGTGGCTCCTCGCTGGCCGTCGTCGTTGTCCCGCCGCGCTGCTCGGCGGTGGCCGCGCCTGCTGCACGCGGAGCTGCGACGATGGGCTCGGTCGGGAGCCCGGCCGCGCCAGGAGGCCGGCTCGGGCAGCCCGCGGGCGGCTCGGCGCGGGCGCCGTGCTGCTCGGGGAGCTGCGGCAGCAGCTTCGGCGGGCAGGTCGCGGAGAGGCCGTCCCTCCCGAGCGCGTCGTCCATGCACGCGCCGTCCGCCGTGCCGGAGAGGGACAGCTGCCGCTTCCGCCGCGCCAGGCGCTCGCGGATGCCGCAGCCCACCGGGCTGGCCAGGCCCAGGCTCAGGGTCCGGGCCGGGCTGTCGCAGCTCGAGCCCGACCAGGTGCCCGAGCAGGTGCTCTCCTCTGGACGCCCGAAATATAGGTGCGGAAAAATAAGTACAAGGCCCAACAGCACATGCTGTCCAACAGCGGCCGCTGTTGGGCAGGCGGCCCTGTGTCCGAAGTGGGCACAGGCCGCGGCGGCGCGGACAGCGGATCCTGTCCAGAATGAACAGGAACTGCTGTTGGGCACTGTGCCCGTTCTCTCCGTACTCATTTCGTTCGTGCCGATCTCCGACAGCTCCGAGGCGCCCGAGACGCAGCTCCCCCCCGACGCCAGCTGCACGACGCCGGGCGCGGGCGGCCGCGCGGGCGCAGGGCTGCTCGGCGAGTCCCAGAGGAAGGAGCCCGAGCCCAGAGGCGAGGGCGGGCGCAGTGCCTCCTGGCGGTCCCTGCAGGGGCCGGCAGCCGTCGTGACCCCGCTGGGGTGCTCGGCAGGGGGAGGCTGCGGCAGGCCCGCCAGGGCGTCTGCGGCGGGTGCGGCTCGCGAGGCCCTGGCCTCGTACACCGCCTGGATGGTGCGCGCGGTGGCCTCGTAGATCGCCTGGATGTCGGGCGCGGCGGCGGCGGCGGCGGGCGTCGTGGGCTCGGGCGAGCGAGGAGAGGCGATGTCGAGCGTGGCCTCGAGGGAACGGTGGCCAGAGGTCATCGGGGGAGAGGCGACGTCGACCGTGGCCTCGAGGGAGCGGTGGCCAGAGGTCGTCGAGGGAGGCGCGGTGTCGAGCGTGGCATGGTCGGACTCCACATCGTCCGAGAGGCTGGCCAGCACCGCCCTCGCGTGCTCGACCAGCTCGCAGTCCTCTGAAGGGTCCAGCTTCTCCACCTCTTGAGCAGGGACCGACCGTCCCATCATGTCTGGGGACCTACGTGTCACGATATGCTTTGAGAACCAAAGAATGTTCGAACAATATGATTATTTCTCGATGGGGAGCTCCCCATACGTATGTGCATATGATTTCCTGGCACGTCCCGCTGTGAGTGTCTGGCTTTGAGCGCCTGGATGTGGGAGCGAATCCGAGTGGATGACGGGTACTAGCACGACGACGAAGGCGGCGGCTACGACTAGAAACAAACAACGCCGACCACTAAGACAGGCGGTGAGCAGGCCATTCCCGTCTCCTTCCTCGTCTTCCTCGTCGTAATCCATCCATTATCTTCTTCCTTCCCTTCTGCCTCCTCTTGCGTCCTCCTTCTTCATCCGTGCTCTCTTCTCCTCCCAGGAGGCCGTCCTTCTCCCTCCTCGTGCGTCATCCCGCTGCCTCCTCCTGGTCCTCTCTCCTCTGACGTCCTTCCTCCAACCTGGCAGGTTTCTCCTTCCCTGGCGGCCCCAATCCCCTCTCCTCCTCCTCCTCCTCCTCCTCCTCCTCCTCCTCCTCCTCCTCCTCCTCCTCCTCCTGGTCTCTTCGATCCCCCCGCCTGCGACTCCTCCTTCTCCTCCTCCTCTTCTTCCTCCTCCTCTTCCTCCTCTTCCTCCTCTTCTCCTCCTCCTCCTCCTCCTCCTCTTCTCCTCCTCCTCCTCCTCCTCCTCCTCCTCTCTTTTCAAGTGTGCAAGAGCCAGAGCACGCGTGCCACTTGTTGAATGGGCCTCATATTGGCAAGTGAAGACGCTTCGCCCCTGCGTGGACCTCGGCCAGCGCCATGCGGAGCTCAGCCCGCGAGCGCCTGTGCGTGGCGGACATGAGGCGCCGCCGAGCCTCGGACCTCCGCCTCACCTCCTCGAGCGCGCGGCGGGCCTCGGCCAGCTCGTGCGCCTGCAGGCCCGCCGCCAGGGCCTTCTCGGCGGCGCGCACAAAGGGGACGGAGGGACCCAGTGGAGGGAGGGGGGAGGGCCTCTTAGAAGGAGACTGCCTCTTAGAAGGAGACTGCCTCTTAGAGTAAGGCGCCGGCCTTACATCTACAGAGAAGGCCCGCGCCTTCTAAGAAGCAGGGGTGCTTCCAAGAAGCCCTCCCCCCTCCCCCCACCCCCTTGTGCGCGCCGCCGAGGAGGAGGAGGAGGAGGAGGAGGAGGAGGAGGAGGAGGAGGAGGAGGAGGAGGAGGAGGAGGAGGGGTGCTTCGAAGAAGCCCTCCCCACCCCACCACCCCTGCGCGTGGCCGACCTTCTGCAGGGCGCTCTCCAGGAGCGTCCTGCTCCGCGCCCTGGCGCAGGGCAGCACAGGATCGAGTCAATATATGTCGGAGCGGCGATCGACATGAAGCAGGTCGGCGGAAAGCGGCGGCCGAGTCTGGAGCAGTCGCATACAGTCGGGGCGTTGACCCAAGGAGCGCTAAGTAAGGAATGGGGCCCCTACTTCCATGAGTTAGACTTCGATTTCCCATCGGAAGCCTAAGGAACACCTGATGCGAAATGTGAAACAATTAAGGCACACGGAGCCCCTCCCCAACGAAAAGGGTCCCTTCTTCAGCGCCCCAACTGTAGGGCGAAAATCGGCAGGCTGACAAGGCGTCTGTTGAGACACCGAAGTCCCAATCGGCATCCGAAGTCGCATCGAACCGGAACAGGAACCGATCAAAATCGAATCGACTCGAGTCGGAGGAGTCGAAACGAGCGCTGCCTGACGGCGCGCAGCAGCACCGCGTGCACGTCGCCCTGCGCCTGTGGCGCCCTCTCGCGCGCGCCGCGGCAGGGCTCGGGCGGCCCGTCGCCCGCAGCCTGAGGGCTCCGCTGGTCGACGCTCTCCTGGGCGGGCTCGGCCCGCTCGAGGGAGGTGTGCTCTCGCACCCACGGGTGCTCCACCGCCTTTGCAGGGGCCCTGGGGCGCACAAATCAACACACGCAAAGAACAGGATTCCCTTACATTTAACCATAGTTTCTGGGTTTTTGTGTCTTCCCCCCCACTTCCCATAATTTCCCATCTTTTCCTGGGGAATCGACGAGCAACGGTGTCTGTGTGTGTTTCTTCCCCTCCTGAGCCTTGCCGAGGCCGAGGCGGCGGCGAGGCTCCTTCACGAGCAGGCGGCCCACCAGGTCCCGGGCGGGCGCCGAGACGTGGCCCGGGAACTCGTAGGCCACCTTCGAGATCTTGGAGAGCGCCTGCACGTAGTTGCTCGCGGCGAAGGGCGAGCGCCCGACGAGCATCTCGAAGAGGAGCACGCCGGCGGCCCACACGTCCACCTTGAAGTCGTACGGCTCGTTGGCGATCATCTCCGGCGAGAGGTACTCCCATGTGCCGCAGAAGGTGCTGCGGCCAGCGCCCTTCGCGAGCTGGTTGCACCAGCCGAAATCCGCCAGCTTCGCCACGCCCCCTTCGCAGATGAGTATGTTCTCTGGCTTCAGGTCCCTGTGCACAACGCAGTTGCAGTGGAGGAAGTGGAGAGCCTCCGCCACGTCGCGGAACATGCCCGCGGATTGGACCTCGGGGAGGCCTTGCTGCGCGTTGTCGGACGCTGCGGCCGACTTCCGGCGGTCCTTGAGCAGGTCGAGGAGCGACCCATGCGGCGCATACTCCAGGAGGAGGTGGACGCCCTCCTGGTCCTCGAAATACTCGTGCAGCCGCAAGATGTTCGGGTGACGAGCCTTCTGCTGCGTGCTGATCTCCCGCTCGATGTTCTCGCCCAGGCTGAACTCGAGGATCTGCGACTTAGACATGACCTTCATCGCGAAGACCTCTCCGGTGTCCTTCCGGACGACCTTGTTCACTGAGCCGAAGGACCCGCAGCCCAAGGGCTTCCCGACCACCTCGAAGTCGTCAAGCCTCGAGTCGCCGCGCTGCGAGGGGGATCGAGAGAACCACTAGGAGGCCCCAAGCACCTTCAGAGGACCCCCTTGAACTCGCGATAATTCCTGCCCTCCTCCTGCTCCCTCGCTGAAACGGCCTGGGGTTGCGCAGTATATCTCTCAAACAAGTTGATGGAAACAAGCAGCGGGTCCGAAAGCACCAGGTTGGGCCACGGTGCGAGCGGATGAAAGGGGTGCGCGGTAGGGATGCAAAGACCTCGGGCGATCCAGCCGAAGCCATTTCTGAAAGGGATGTGGATTTGTCGACTACGCAAAGACGCGGCGCAAGGGTGCCCTTGGAAAGTGACCTACCCGCGCTTATGGTATCGTTGGCCTGTGTGCTCAAGGAAACGGGCCACCTCGTACGGGAGCGTATTGGCGGCGCGCACAAGGGGGTGGAGGGAGGGGGTAGGGCTTCTTACTTAGAAGGAGGCTTCTTCTTAGAAGGCGCCGGCCGTACATCTGCAGGTAAGGCCCGCGCCTTCTAAGCAGCAGGGGTGCTTCTGAGAAGCCCTCCCCTCTCCCCCACCCCCTTGTGCGTGCCGCCGAGGAGGAGGAGGAGGAGGAGGAGGAGGAGGAGGAGGAGGAGGAGGAGGAGGAGTTTTTTCCAGCAGTTTCATTTCTCACGCGGTGAGGTTGGGGCGGGTCTGGGGCCGCCGCCACCTCAGAGACCAGGTAGTACTCGACCTGGTTCTCGGAGGCGTGCTTGTTCTTTTCTCTTTCTGCTTCTTGCTTTTCTTCTCCTTTGCACTCCACGATGTGCTTGCGTAGTTTTCTCTCTTTAACTTCTTTCAGCATGCGGAAGAGCGGGGCCATCTTTTCCCTTTGAGTTTTTGCTTCTTCTTCCGGACCATGTTTTTCAAGCTCCTGTGGGTTTTCATCTTGCACCTTGGCTTCTCTTCTCGCTGTTCCTCTTTCCCCATGTCACGGGGTAGTTTCGTTTCTGTCCCCCCTGCGTCAAGGGGCTCTTTTCCCTTAATGTGCTTCGAGTCCTGCTTCCTTCTCGCCGTGCTATTCGCTCTTGGCACGTCTTTGCCCGTCCTTTGGGCCGTACTCCCAGTTATTGCCGCCTTCTCGTCCTTCCTCTCTTGCCGCTTTCCTTCTTCAGCATATTTCAGCAATCGTGTCAGCGGTGCCATCTTCTCCTTCTCAGCTTTCCTTCCTTGTTCAGGTTCCTGTTTTATCCGTTATTTCTGCTCTTCAGCCTCTTGTGACTTTGCTTCTTTTCTCATCGCTTCTCTTTCCCCCATGCCACGGGGTAACTTCATTTCTCTTTCGTCTAGGTGCACATCCCTCGTTTCTGGGCCTTTGGCTTCCCCTGCGTCAAGGGGTTTGTTTCATTCGCGTGGATCATGTCCTGTGCCTTTTTTGTCGAACTGCTTGTACTTGAAGCCTCTTCATCTACCCTGTTCGCCGTACCCCTTGTCCTTGCCGCTTTCTCTGTTTCCTCTTCACGTGCTTTCCTTTTGATTCTTGCGTTGTCTTCATTCTCTTTCCCCAGGTCCCCCCATGCCACGGGGGTGGTTGTTCTCGTTCTTTACCGTATCCGCTTCTCTTTGTTCCTCGTCGACGCCGCTATCATCCTCTTCGTTTGCTTCGCGTCTTTGTTCCTTTATCTTTCTTTCTCTGGCTTCTTCCAGCAGCTGGAATAGCGGGGCCATCTTTACTCGATGCTCACGTTCTTCCGGGTCGGTATATTCCCCTTCTTCTGGCGCTTTTTCCTTTGGTGTATCTTCCCTTGCCGCGGCTTTCCTTCGTGGTGTTTCCTTCACTTTCATCTTTTTCTCTGATCTCCACGTTATTGTATTTTCCTTTCTCCCTTCTGGCTCCTTATCCGTCTTAGCCTGTTTCTGCTTTTCCTTACTCGCCTTGCTTGTCCTGTTTTCTTCAGCTTCGATATGTGTTCCCGTGCTCTCATCGTCCCTCTTCGCGTTGTTAGCACCCTTCTCCGCTGGACCCCCGTTCTTTCGTGGCGACATTTTGCCTAGTAGCCCCAATGGCACACTAGGACTTTGCGCTCTAACGCCCCCCAGCATACTTGGCAACGCTGCGCCTAGTAGCCTTAATGGCACACTATGACTTTGCGCTCTAACGCCAGCTTCCTGTTCTCCCTGTATCTCGTCTGCCGTGGTCGGTTCCTTCCAGTGGTCTTTTTCCTCTCTTTCTCCACGGGCGTACTGTTCAGGATCCTGCGTATGTTCTTGGTACTCGGCCCTTTCTTCTTCTTCTTCGCCACCGACGTGTTGTTCTGGTCGCCCGCACTGATTCTCACGCGCTCCTTGTAGCCTGCTCCTCAGCTTGTACTTAACCGATCTGTAGCCAGGCCGCCGTAGGCATGTGCTGCGCATTTTCTCCGGTACATATTCAGCCGCCGTTCCTCCACATAGTCTGCATACATAACGTCTTTCGCCTGGGACCCATATCAGCGGGCGCGTCTCGTGCGAGGTGGCCCCGTTGATACTTATCTGAACTCCTTCTGGTGCGGGGGGACCTTTGCACCCCTCAGCTAGCCACTCTCGAATGCACTCCATCCCCGTCTTCTCGTTGATCTTCTGCTCGCAGTGGGTGCATATCCAGCCTTTCCCCTTTGCCAGCTTCTCGAGCGTGCGCGTGGTACTTGGGGGATCCGCTTGCGTCAGGATTTCGATGTTATGCCTTCTTCCTTCTCTTTCCTTCACTTTGGCTCTTTGTCTTCCTCTTTTAGCTTCTCTTTCTTCGGGTGGTCTTCTTTCCATTGCCCCCTTCGTCGCCGCCATGATCCTTTTCCGCGCCATGCAAGCCGTTGCTCTTATGAGCTCGTAGTTGGCTATGGTCGAGCTTGGTATTGCATGTAGTGCTGTCCCTTTGTCCGCCAAATCGCCCGCTGCTTTATTACCAGCCCAGACCTGTCGTGGTATTCCTTTTGCTCTCGCTTCTTCCCATTTCATGTGGCTGTTCACGTGCTTGACGGTGATCATTTGTTCGCCCCCGCCTCTGTCTTGAATAGCCTTGCCAATTTTCCTCCAGATGTCCTGGTTGCCTCCTGCTTTGCGCGGCCTGTTGTGTCTTCCGATGGCCCAGCCTTTTCATGAGTATTTCACTGTCCGTCCAGTACTCCACCACACCATTCGCGCTGGCAATGAAACTTAAGAGTGCCCATAGCTCCGCTCTGTTATTCGTCTGTCTTGCTCCAGGGAGTGCCCCCATCTTTGCTGCCTTGATGTCGTGCGTGCCGTTTGGCCCGTGCATGATAGCCCAGCCCCACCCGCGTCTTCGGCATCTTGGATCGCTGGAACACTCGCCTCCCGATCCACCGCCGCATCCTATGATGGCGCTGCAGCTGCTGATGCGCTCCTCGTTGATGCACTCCCCGGCGTGTTTTTCTTCGCACTCGGTCTTGCATGGCTCTGGTGCAGTCCATGCTCTTGGTGGGGCCCCGCGCATCCAGAAAGCTGGGGCTGCGTCCGCTCCTTCGATTGCCCTTGCCCTGAGTCTTTCCGTCTTTTCGAAAATCCCGACATTGGATCTATAGCTGCAAATCCCCCATATGCGGTGCGCGTCGGTCTCGGTCTCCCCACATTCGCATTTGTCGTCCGTGCCGTAGTGCTGGCGTGTACGTGATCTCGCCCAGGTTCCCGCACATGCCGCCGTAAGTAATGCTCCGTACATTTGATGTTCTCCTTGCTTCCGTAGTCGGCGCAAGTGGTCCTTCATGTCTTGACAGCCCGCCCCCTGTCGAGCCCTCTTCCCATGTAGTGCTCTGCGGCTCCTGCCCAAAGTTGCCCGCCCAGTGTTCTCATAATTTCATCCAGAATACCCGTTGGATCTCTATGTTCTTCTCCTTCTGGGAACGCCCACACTTCGCCTCTTGGGCTCAGCCACTTTGTTGGTCCTCTGGTATCCCAGCCAAACTCCCATAACGTCAATGCGATACCTCCCAGTGGTCCTCGACGTACTCTCCATCTGTTTTGTTGTTTTTCTCGCCGACATCTGAAATCTATCCTCGGCCGCGCCCTTTTGATTTGTCGCCTCAGCCCTGGGGAGTGCGACCAGACGTCGAAGAGTGCTTTGATCTGGCCTTTAATCACCGAGTGAGCGGGATCGTGACCTTCTAAGGCCAGAAATGTCGTAAGGCATCTGCCCGCCCATGGTCGTCTGATCGCTTGCGCGTGCTTCCGACGTGCCCGCTGTAGAGCATGTGGCGCCAGTCCGTGGCCGATTGCTCCATGCAACATCGATGCCATTGCCCCTTGGTTGCACACCGCTGTCCGTGCTTGCAGTTTTGTTATTTTCAGCTTCCTCTCAACGTCCCTCATCCGTTTGAAGGCCCCTTTTAGCTTTTTGCCGTGCGTGTCCCGCTTGGTCGCGCCTCTCGCTGCTCTGTCATGTCCGAGGTCCCTGCCCTCAGTCGCCGTCTGGATGTCGACCTTCGCCTCCGCGAGCTTCTTTTGGATCTTTTTGCTGTCCTGGAAGTTCGTAGAGAAGAGCAGGGATTTACCCGCCAAGTGGAGACCATGTGCCTTTAGTGCGTCTCGAAGTTCACTAGTAGTCTTTACCACGCCATCAATAACTGCTTCTTTGCCGCCCATCACCCTTATGCTGATGTCATCGAACCACGCTCTCGGCACAGGCTTGGGCATGCATAGATCCAGACCAGTAATTCTTGCCACCGCAGCGTATACAATCGTCTTTGCCACATTCTTTGAGTGCCTGCATCCTGCGAGCATTGATTTGCCCGCGTCAATTGGCAGCGAGTAAGCCACTGTACGTCTGAGCACGCGCGCCGACGAGTGCTGGAGCATAAGCATGAGAAGTATTATTGCCGAGAATCCTAGCTCCAATGCCGCTGCGATAACCCCATCGTGCCTGAGGCTGTCGTAGAACTTCTCGATGTCGGCCATGAGGTTGCTGTTGTTGATCTCCATCGCGTCCATGCGCTCGCCCGCGATGGCGCATCTCAGCGCCTCCCGCAGACAACTATTGCCGTGCATCGCCGCATCGCAGTCTCGCTATTGTTCTTTCGCCCATGATCTTACCCTCGGTCTGTGCAATAGCTCCCAGCATCTTACCAGCTGTGGAAGCAGAGCCAGCGCCCTGTCTCCTTTCTTTGGCTTCGGGGTGATCATGACTACTGAACATAACACTTGCCATGGCCACATCATCCTCACCTCGCACTCATTGAACACGTCCACGATAGCTTGTCTTCCTTCTCCTGGCAGACGCCGTATGTCACTACATGAGACCTTGTCCACTCCTTGTCCTTTGTCTGGTTCTCCCTTCAGCGCGATATCCAGGCCACTGATCGCCCATGCCTGCGGGTCCTCCTGCCGCGCCACTCTCCTGAGGCACCCGAGGTTTTGACAGTGTCTCCCGTGTGGGTTGCCAGGGTCTGTCCAGGTGTCCTTGAACGTCTCCGCCTTGAGGTCCACGATCTCTGTGGGGCAGCATATCACTCCGCTTGGGGTCGCTATTTCTTCCTCACGCCGTACAGGAGGTTTCGTGATCTTGTGTAGTATGCCTGGCTCATTTTCTGCCATAGCCAACCATTTCGCATATGTGCGAGCTCCCCCTCGTAGGTCTCGCTGCACTGCCGCTTGCCTCTCATTCTCGGCCTGCCACGCCATTCCTTCCAAAATCTACGTGTCGACGCTTCTCAGATCACTCATGCGCTGTGCCCATGTTGCTCTATGTAGCTCTGCCGTCGGCGTCGCGTTGCCAGCTCCTGGTATTCCTTCAAGTACCAGACATCTAGCTGCCTTTGCGAGCGCGTCGATGTGCCTTTCCGCTTTGCCTTTCTCTCAGTGTTTGATCATATTGTTTAGGATCGCCTCCGTTCTGCTCCACCAGTCCGCCCTCGTACTTGTATAGCTTATCCGTCGTTCCCCTTTCTCGCGCATGTTGACCGTCTCGAACGATGTAGCTTTCCCTCCCCCTTTGTAGTATTCGCGGTCCCCGGATTCGATCTTGTAGCACATGCAGTAAAACGTCTCCAGTGCGCCCATGGTTCTGTTGTGCGTACTGGCCAGTGCTTCTGCACCTTCTGGGTCTGACTTGTAGGCCGCGCTCTCCGTGATGAAGGGTGGTGGATCGTCTGCTTCGTCTCTGGCGTGAATGAACGATGCTGCTTTCCATGCGTCGTTCATGACAGTGGTATCAATCTTGGGCGTTGCCTCCACCGTGCGGTCCTTCAGTTGTTTGGCCGCCCCGCTGCATGTCCCTGACAGTAAGTTCGGTATATTAGCTCCTTGCGGGCGGGAGTGACCATCACTTTCATGGTCCTTCTCGCTCGTATACAGCGTCTCCTGCCCATTCGTGGCGCTGCCCCTCTCATCGTTCGAGTCGCCGTATGTAGCCAGGGACCCCGTTTCCATGTCCCGCTCGTAGCGTGCCATCCCCTCGGAAGTGTCTGCCTCTCCACTGCCACCGTTATCCTCATACTCGGCTATGTCATCGAAGGGGTGCACTTCTTCTCTGTGCATGTGTTCCACTGCTTTGCTGCGGCCGCTGCTCACGCGAGGCTCCATCCCCACGGTCTGGCCCTGGTATCCATAGCCACTTTTTGCTCCAATCGTTGTTTGCCCAAGCGAGGTCCCCCGACTCTGCCGCTCGCTGTGTTCGCGGTTCTCATGGCATCCGCGGGCTGAGCACCCCCCCCACCCCCCCCCCCTCCCTCGCGTTCAGTCTGTCGGTTTCCAAGGGTATGGGTCCGCTCTGTTAGTTGCGAAGTCCTGTCTGCCACAATGTTGGTCACGTAGTCCGCGTCGCGCGCTCTGGGCTCGTCAGGGGCCTCCGCCAATGGGCCCTTCATCCCGTCCTGTATCTTCGGGTGTTTGCTCCAGCCATCTGGCCCCAAAGCTTCCCACCTCGCACAGTCCAGGTCTCCCTCTCTGTTCTCTGCGATTGCCTCGAAGTTGGTGGGGTCCTCGTGTCCTGCTGCAGCTGCCACGTCAGCCTGCTGCCGTGCTTGTGACGCTGTCTTCTGTCGTTGCCTCTTGCTGTTCGGGTTGGGTGTCTTCTTGGGTCTAGGTGGGCGTGGGAACGCTGTCGGGGGATTCAGCTATCTGCACTTCGTCGATACCCCTTCTCCGTACAGCTCTATCTTCAGCGCGATGTGTGGCTTCCATGGTACGTCGCGGATGGGCTCGATGCTCTTCGCGAGTTTCTCGGCCCTCGAGTACACGATGGCGAAATCGATATTCGACTCCGCCTCCCCGGAGAAGCACGCATCGTCGCCCTCTGGGACCGCGATCGCTGCCTCCGCCACCAAAGCTTTGGCCCAACCCGACCCCCAGAACTCTTCAGGCGCGTGGTTGAAATCTCCGCAGATGAGCCACGGCAAGTCCGTAGCCTTCACAAAAGCTGCCACTGATGATAACTTCCTTGAATGGATGCCCTCCTGTAGGGGGGAATTTGCGCCCAAGTAGATACTAATAACCAATAACGTGAACCCTTTCATGTGCCATGCCACTGGCGTCCAGTCGCACATGTCGTAGTCGCACTGTTTTCCCCTCAACATGCTCGTGGTTGCCTGAGAAACCTGGCCCCTGGCTGCATGTCTGAAGAACGTCGCTTGGTGATGCCCCTTCATCAGCACGGCTGTTCCCCCACATGGACCTGCCGATGATCTCTTGCTCCTTCGAGCCCCCGTGAAGCAAGCCTTGAAGCCCTCCTTCGTCAGCTTTGCTTCAATATCTTCGATCTTGTCGACTGTGACGCGTGTCTCCTGGATAGCGTAGGCGTCGGAATCCCTTCTGTTCGCCGAACGCATGAGCCACGCGTGCACAGTCGGCCCCCATGTCGTTATGTTGGCGACGCACAGGCTGCGCGCACGGGGGCCGCCGTCGTCGCGCTTCCGACGGCCGCCCTGCACTGCAACCTAGCTGGTTGCATCCGCTCTTTCTGCCCTTGCCGCCTTCAGGATCTCGTCAATGTCGTCCACGTCCGTGGCTTCCTCCTTGATCTCTTCTTCTAGCTCCTGATCTGGCTGCTGCAGCTCCACTTTTGCGCCTCCGTCACTCTTCCTCTTTTTGGCCGCCTGCGTTATCACCGTTCTTTGTTCCGCTGCCTTTGCTCTTGCGATCTCCAAATGCGTCTTCAGCTGGCCCGCGAATGATGCTGCGTTCGCCTTCAGCTGCGCGACCACCTCCTGTTTGGCCTTCTGTATCGCCATCTTCCCCATCGTCGTCCAGGTCCTCGTCGTTGATGCCCAAGGCTTCGTCCACTTCTCGCAAGTCACCTTCCGCTAGCTCTGCCACGTCCGACGAGAGGAGCTGCGCCAGCACTCCCTGTGGTGGTACATTCTTGCCTTCTGCTTGTAGACCTTCGATTTCCACCTCTATGTCGACCACCAGTGCTGCATGCTGATGTACTTCTGCTTTGAGCTTTGCCATCTTCTCCTCGGCCTTCTTTAGCTCCTCCCTTCTCCACTCGTAGCTCCTCGTCGCCTTCTGTAGTCTGGTTGCCGCCTCGGCCAGGCGCACCGCTTTTGGCTTTCTTTCTGGTGGAGGTGCTGCCGCCGCTGCCACCTTGCTCGCCATTCCATTCAGCTGCCGTACGAGTTGGTCTCCGTTCTGTATGCCCATGGTCTGCAGCGAATTCGTCATCAGGTTCATCGCTGTGGCGAATGTCTCCGCCGCTTTGCCTCCTTCCCCTTTCCATCCTGCACCTCCTGTGCCGCCCTTGCCGTAGCCCTTGTCCTTGCCGCTTTCGTGGGCGAGCTTCTTGTCGGCGCTGCCGTTTCAGTTGCTCTTCTCCTCGTCCCACTTCAGCTGCCTGACGTACTGCGGCTTGGCGGTCTTCATGTTGCAGGTGCATGTCCAGTCCATGTTGCACAGCTTGGTGTGGTACCACCACTCGTTGCAGTGCTTGCAACTCGAGTACTGATCCTTCATCTGCTGTGCCTTCGTACCCTTGCCGCCAGTCATGCCTCCACTTCCGCGGCCGCCCATCCTGGGAGCGGCGCTGCCGTGGTGGTCGTCCAGCAACTTCCTGTCGCGCTCCAGCCTCAAGCGCCTCCTCGCTTCTCCTCTTTGGCGCCGCTCCCTGCGGTGCCAAGCTGGCGAGCGGGAGCGCGCTGCTGCCGCGCTGCGGCGCCCCTCCGTGGGGCTGGGGGCTATCGTTCGGCGGGCGCCCGCGCTGGGGGCAAACTGCCTGCGGGGCCCGCGCGAAGCCACCTAGAAGGAGGAGGAGGAGGAGGAGGAGGAGGAGGAGGGGTGCTTGTAAAGAAACCCTCCCCCCCCACCTCAACTCTGCGCGTGGCTGAGCGTGGACGAGGTCCAGGAGAAGCCAAGGAAGAGCTGAGGCGCAGCCGACCCTCGAGCGACCAAGACTCCGGACGACTGCGGGGCGACTGCGGCCACGCTGCCGACCATGGGGGTAGCTGCACTGAAGGGGCCCTGACACACACACACACAAATGCACACAAATAACAGGATTCCCCATATTGTATAATATTTTCACGGTTGTTGTCTTTCTCCCCACTTCCCATATTTTCCCGTATTCTCTGGGAAATTGACGATCAATTGTGTATGTGTTTTTTTTGCACTCTTGATGCATCAGGAACGAAGCCCCCGGCTGGCCCCAACAGCGGCTGGACGCACGAGAAGAGCGCCCCGAGAGCAGCCGTGGCAGGACGCGTGGAATCGCGAGCCCCCTCCGAGGCCGAAGTGTTCCCTGCCTCCGCGTGCCGACTGCAGCGGCCAAACCGGCGCGCTCCAGGAAGGGCCTCGCCTTCGCCCCCGGCGGAAGCCGGCGGAGGGCCGGCGGGATGCCGTGGTCCGACACGCTCGTTCGCCAGAGTGCCTGGCGGCTCCGTGGACACCGGCTCGAGCATCCTCAGAGCAGGCTCCTGGCCCCTCCTGATGCTGCAGGCCCAGAGCCGCCCCCTTCCACACCGCAGAGAGCCGCGGATCTTGCTCGCGCCAGCTGCAGGGATCAAGTCCGCGAAGAGGCCAGCCGAGGAGACTCAAGGAGGAGGGGAGACGAGCACCGACCAGGGAACGCCGATCGCCAAGCTGCAGATGCCGATGTGCAAGCTCCTCCTCCAGCGCGGAGCAGCTCGCCAGGCCACTGCCAGGGACGACAATTTCAAGCTGACGGTGAAGGAGGGCACCAAGATCGAGTTGGCACTCGACGACGGCTCCCAGAACTACGTGAGCCAGGGGAAGACGGTCCGAGAGCGCCACGACTTCGAGGGCCACCCGATGGGAACGGCGCCCGACGCATTCCTTCGGATGGCGGCGTCTCGTGTCGCAGAGGCGGTGTCAGGCACGACCGATCAGATACTCGAGGCCATCCGAGACGGCCTCTTCCACACAGAAGCCGCCGAGGCCGTAGCGGTGCTGGATCGGCGGGGGGAGGACGGGAACGCACATGGACGTGGGGGTGAAAGCCACCTGCTGCCCCAAGATCAATTTAAAAAGACGAGGGAGAGAGCCACGTGCGATGGATCTGGGCCTGCAGGCACCACAACGATCTGGAAACCCGCGCTGTCAGTGCTGGGGCCCGCCAAAGTATTGCTCCGACGCGATCACGGCCCACGCTCAAAAGGTCGCAAATCAGATCGATGTCCTCACCTTCCAGTCCACTGGTGCGGGATACCAGGCCAAGGAAAAGAAGAAGCAAGGAAGTAGAGGGTCACGCCAGACCCAGGTGCACGCAAAGTATCCTCGCCGACACCTTTAACGATCAGCGTACCTCATACTCTAGCTTTGAATGACAAGCCAACTCACCATAAGTCACTTTACACCGTACGAAGTGGTCTCAATGGTGTCTCCTGCGAGTGGTTTCTAGACTCTTGGGCTTATTTCGCACATCGCCCACCAAGGGGGGTGCTAAGGGCTTGGCGTGCGGTGCCTTGCGTGGTAACAGGTTCCATGCACTTCGCCCTTAGCACAGGCTAGGCGTGCCACGCATTTATGCATGGTCCCTGAGTTGCGCTTGCGCAGCAACTGTTCCTGCACCTTGCCGCCCCCCTGCCGACTACGGCGTGCAGGGCGAGAGCCAAGAGTTAAAGGTTGCTTCCGTTGTTTGGGCGTGTTCTTGCCGTGGATCCCGTACTGCGGTGTCGCCGCGGGTTAACCTTGAGGCCAGCCTGAGCTGCAGCTGCCGCCGTGCACTCACCCCTCCTTCTACAGTCTCCCCTCGCCCTCCTGGCCCTCCTCCTCCAGGGAGGAGGAAGGAGGAGGAGGACGAGGAGGAGGAGGAGGAAAAGGAGGAGGAGGAGGAAAGGGTGGAGGAGGAGGAGGACGAGGAGGAGGAGGAGGAGGAGGAGGAGGACGAGGACGAGGACGAGGAAAGGGAGGAGGAGGAGGAGGACGAGGAGGAGGAGGAGGTCTTCTAAACCTCGATGTTCTGCTATGCTTTGGAGCTGGGGGGGCGGCCTCCGAGGCCCCAGAGGGGGCCTGCAGCCGCTCTCGCAGCTGCAAGCATCTGCGACGGCGGGGGCGCGTGGGGCCGGGGCCGAAGCCTTCCCCGTCCCGCCTCGCCGTGTCCTCGTCGGGCCTCCTCTCTCGATGCTCATTACAGTCAAACTAGATTGGACAGGACACCCGAGAGGAGATAGGACTCTTGCGACGGCGACGTGGCCCCAGAGCACCAGAGGACATGAGGGCTGCATAGGTCGGGACAGTCAGGACACGAGGGTACCCTCGATTTGGCACGGTCGACCTACCAATCAGGGCCGACTGTGCCACAGCGTGGGCCGCAGATCAACAGCTGTTTTTACCATCGGCCCCACGCGGAGCGTCCCCCGCGAGGGAGACTGGGCGCAGGTCGGCGGCGTGTCGGCGGCGCCAGGGCGGCGGGAGCTGGCGGAGACAAGGGCGAGGCGTCAGCACTTCTGGGCACTTCTGGGCCAAGGGGATCCTGAAGTCGGCCAAATGCGGGGGGGGGGGGGCATACTACTCTTTCCATCGCCGCGGCGGTGAATGCGCACCGCAGCGTGCGTGGTCTGCGCGAGGGCGCTGGCAGGCGCACGGCACAGAGGCGGGCAGGAGGCAGAAGACAGCGGCCGCGGAGGAGGAGGACAAAAAGGGCGGCACGCTTTGGGCGCCTGGTGGCGGGGAGGCAATCAACGCGGGGGGGGAATTGACGACTGCAGGGAAGTGCCCCCTGGTAGAGGGGCCCTTACTCAATCCGAAACGACCCCTGCTCTGTCGCCGCGGGCCCGGCAAGGAGTAAGTACGAAAGGCGCCCGCTTCCTCACGCCCCGTAGATTTCCCCCCCCCCCCCGCTAAGGAGCACCCGAGCACTTAGAGGACCAAGGATTATGTTGCCCCCATCGTACTTGAAGACCACATCCCAGAAAAAAGCTCGAGCACCTGAAGAAGTGCCAAAAGAGTGTCGAAACAGTGTCGGGCGAGTGTCTCCCGGGGCCCGACACGTGACCAACCTTTGAGTTTCGGTACTTTTTTCTGGTGCTCGAACTTCTTGCTGCTGCTCAAGGCTAAAGTAGGTTGGAACATCATAAACCAAGGAATTCGTGAGCTGTGTGGCGGTGGCGGCCTGGGGTGCGCATGCTCGGAGAAGGGCCAGTTGAGGCAACGGCGGCTCTCCCGTCTGGTCCACGAGCGCGCTCAAAATCAATCCCCGGACTCCTCCTGGGGTCCGTCCTGACCCGTTCTGCGAGGCGGGTCCAGCCGTGACGACGAGGAATCCTCCACTGGAAAGGACGAGACACGCCAGGGAGGGCCGCCGGTGCCTCGACGGCGCAGAGGGAGCCCCAGCTGGCATCAACGGGCCCCATCGCGGGGCCTCAACGCCCCTCCGCGCCCCCTTCGGCGGCGCTCTCCCGGGGGTGGCACTGGGACGTCGAGACGAACCTGGCTGTCCCGGCCTGCTGAGGCCTGCTGGTGCCGCCTCTGGAGGTGGCACAGACGGGGGCCATCTGTGCGCAACCCCGGGCCTGGCCATCTCTTTCCCCAGAGCCCCTCTGGTCATGAAAGGATCACGACGGGGCGTTACTGCCGTCTTCGGTCCGGGGTCCCGCGCCGGGCCCAAGGCTCGTCAAAACTTGACTCGGGGGGAAAAAACCGGCCCTGGGGAAAGTGTCGGGACTTCCGGGCACTCCGCATTGCAAACACCAAGACATGGATGTCTGGGGGTCATCCTCCTCGGACCTCGGACGACTCGGCCTTTCATCTTTCGGATCGCTGGCCTCTCGGCCCCGTCCCCGGGTCAGGCATTTCATCCTGAGAGTCGTGCTCTCGATGGCCAACTCAAGTTAAAATGTTAGTACAAGCGAGACATCGGAAAACCTGGGACACCGAAGCTTCATTGAAACTGAACAGAAGGCCAATTTTCCCTCTGGACGCAAAGAAACTCGGGTAAAACCTGCGGCGCGCTGCTTGCTCCCCAGTCGTCGGAAGTCTGGGCCCCAGGCGGTACGACACAAATGCGTACACGTCGTTCATTTCTAATTGTGCTCATTTCTAATTGTGCTCGTTTCCCAGGAAGAGGCCCAGGATAGAACAATTGGAAATGGAAGAATCTTGGCTCCCCAGAAAATCAAAGAACGTTCGAATAATTAGAAATGAGCCATGCGTATGCCCCCCCCCCCGCAGGAGCATGCCAGGGTGGGAGGGGCGAAGCCGGCGGGAGCCGCGCGCCGCTCGCGCCCGCGCGCCCACCCCGCGCGCCCGGGCCCCGCCCGCCCGTCGCGCACACCACCTCCCCTTCCCGCCGCGGGCGCGCGGGGACGGAGCAAGAGCGCCGCCGCGCTCCCAAATGTGACCAGTCCTCGATCCCCAACTCCGATTTATCCTAGGGTCGGGCACGTCCTCCTACAGGCGGATCTTGGAAGAAAAATGAAAAAAAGGTCAACAATACCAGAAAAAAAACGTCACCAGTCGACTTTTTGACTATTTTTGAATACTCCTCCTGTGGAGGGACGTGCCCGACTTACATCTATCCTCGGCCATCGGCCCCCTGACCTGTCTCCTGGGGCGCGCCTTGGCGAAGAGCATCGGGGCAACTCCAGGAACGGAGGCTCAGAAGCCTCGGCCTCCTCACCTCGATGACGATGGTGATGGTGATGATGACGACGATGATGCTACTGCTGGTGGTGGTGATGGTGATGGTGATGGATGGTGATGATGATTATGAGGGTGCGGATGATGACGACGACGACGACGATGATGATGCTGATGATGCTGATGGTGATGCTGATGATGACGACGACTATGATGATGACGACGATGATGATACTGCTGACACGGATGATGATGCTAGCGATCACAAGGATGAACCTGCTGATGACGGCGGTCATGAGAGCATGCGGAGCGCGGCGGCAAAGAGAGGGACGAGGAGGGTAGGGATGACGATGACGAGGAGGATGAGGCGGAGGAGGAGGAGGCGGAGGAGGAGGCGGAGAAGGAGGAGGAGGCGGAGGAGGCGGAGGAGGGGGCGGAGGAGGAGGCGGAGGAGGAGGAGGAGGAGGAGGAGGAGGAGAAGGAGGAGGAGGCGGAGGAGGCGGAGGACGCGGGACGATGCGGACTTAAAACGAGGACCCAACACCGCAGGATGGTTAGGAAAATGAGCGGCGGTTCTCCTGCCAGGTCCGAGTCCGCTCAAGCACCGTTTCCTGGACCCCTCCTGGAGTCCAGCCTGGCCCTCGTATCGCGGCGGGCCCCGCCGTGGCGACGAGGAGGCCTCCAGGAGGCCCGAGAAGCACGAAAACGCCAGGGATGACCGCCGCTCTCGACCTCCCCGTCTTGAGCAGGGACCGACCGTCCCGGCATTCCTATAGGCCTACCACGAGATGTTCTTAGAACCCAAAAACGTTCGAAAAACAGAAACAATGCTCTTATGTGTAAAGACAAAACAGACTCAGCCAGAGACGTTCTTACCACAAGAACTTCGTGCAAGCAGAAGTGCTAAGACAAGCCGGACTCAACAAGAGCATGTCGTGCAGACCACAAGAGGTCCTTGGAACATTCCTTGGTGGGCCTATAGGCGAGCCAGGACGCCTCGCCACTGCTCGAGTCCTCGCCCTCCTCGCCCTCGCCGAGCCGTCCCGGCCTCAGGTCCCCGCGCTGCGGGGGGATCGAGCTCCGCCGCAGCAGCGCGGGCTCCGGCGGGCCGCCCTGGTCCGCGGGGACGCCCGGCGCGGAGGCGGACCTCCTGATCGGGGGCATCGCTGCTGCCGCTCCGCTGCTCGCCTCGGCGGCGCGCGGGCGGGGCTGGCGGCGCCCACAAGCCCGGACCTCCAACGCAGCGAACAACATCAGGACGAGGGTTTGGGGCCATGTGTGCCACCTCTGGGTACACGTCGTTCATTTCCAATCGTGCTCATTTCCACGTGTGCTCGTTTCTAAGTGTTCCTGGCCCCCTAGTGGCCAGGAAGAGGCCCAGGATAGAACAATTAGAAATGAAAGGATCTTGCCCCCCGAAAAAATCAATGAACTTCCGAATACGCAGAAATTTAATTAGGCAGCCGCATGTGGACCCTCTTCCTGCAGGTCAGATTCTTGACACAATTCGGACGATGCCCGTAGCCACGGGAACTCCAGCGCGGTGTGCGATAGCCCAGCGTCGAGTGGACCCGTAGGGGCAAGGTTCACAAATAGTCGCAGACCTGGGGGCCCTCGCCGGGCCACGGGACAGTGAAAAAAACGCTTCAGGCTGAAACGCCGGCCCAGAGAAAAGGGTCGGGACTTCCAGGGACCCCGTATGGAAGCGAGCCAGACGTTGGATCTCCGGGAGGGGGTGGCGCAAGGGGGCGGCCTATTTGGGAATGCGGAGGAGCTTCTGAGGAGGCAGGGGCCTTCTCAGAAGGCCCTGGAGGCTTCTGAGAGGGCTTCTCACAAAGCTCATTGGCGTCGGAAGAGCCCCCCCCGCTTTCTCAGAAGCCCCCGTCGCGCCACCCCCCCCTGCGGGCAAAGCGCCAGCGGGGACCCGGAGGGACCCCCGGCACCGCGGCTTCTTCTCGCACTGGGCGTGTGGGCCCCGTTGCGGGCCCCAGGGGGCCTCCGCGGATCGTTCGGGCCCGCGAGGTGCCGCAGAGGGCTGGGGCCTCGGGGGCGCAACTGCATCGGAGGGGGGCGGGGGCAGGAGGCAGTCCCTCGAGGCTCGAGGACCGAGGAGGCTTCTCGCGCTCCTCGGGCGGGAAGCGTCTGGCCGCCACATGTGGACTCCCCCCTCGAGATGCCGGCCGAGGCGCGCGCCAGGATGGGCCCCGGGGTTGGAGCGCCGGCCCTGGGACGAAGGCGATCATCCGATGGCTCGAGAAACTCCGGGCGGCCCGTCTTCATTTCCCCCTCGACATGGCCAATCCTACGCGAGTGCGCTCAGCCGCTGGGCAGAAGCGGAGCAGCCCATCGGACAAGCACACGGTACCAGCGGCTAGAGCAGGTCGGATCGACTAGCGGCAAAAGCGCATTGCAACGCGTGGGCAGCAGCAGTGCAAGCAGGCAGAGGGGCACAGGCGGCAGAGAGGAGATGGGGAGGAGGCTGAGAGCAGGGAGGAGAGTCGAGGGGCAGGAGAGCGAGCGATAGGGAGAAGGCAAGAAAGCACGACGGAGGAGAAGGCGGAGGAAGGGGTGGGGGGCGGCAGAAGCGGGGGGCCAGAGAAAGCCCACGCGGCCCGTCTGTCGCCATGCTGGGGCCTCGGGGGGTCAGCTTATTTTTGGCCTTCTGGGGCTGCCGGCTGCCGAGAACACGACTCGAGAGGTCCAGGGGGCCCTGTCTCGAAACACACGACCCGTCAACATCGAACCGGGAAGTCGGAACGACTCGTAACGAGCGTCGGATCGGGCTGCATCCGCACGGGGCCGAGACAGAAACACAACAACGCCATGCGAGCGTCGGGCCGCATCGGATCGCCCGCGTATCCGTGTCGGAATCGAATGAGATCGAGCAGGCCAGAATCGATATCGAATCGGATCGAAATGGACTCTGCGGGTGTCCAATGTGGTCTGCGGGTCATAAGTCAGCCTCTGGCAGACGTTCGGGACGATCCGGGCACCCCTGGAACGCCCTCGGCAAAGAGCAGCTGCTGAAATGAAGCGCATCAGGAGGCTAGAATTAGGTCGGGCATGTCCCCCTACAGGCGGATTTTGGGCGACAAATTAAAATAGGCCTAAAAGCATTCAAACAATAATCCCCCCCCCCCAAAAAAAACGATCGCTGTTCACCACGAGAACGATCACGTGTGGCCGGCCGTCGGCTCAGATGGCCGGTGCCAGGGCGGGCCCCGAGAGGGGCCCGGAGGCGGGCTTCGAGGTGGTCTGCAGCAGACACATGCGGCAAGGACTCGTGCTCTCTAAGGCATCCAGGGGCCCGTGTGTCGTCGATACCTCGGCTTCCTGGGGGTGCTGCCTGGCTTCTGGGGATCCCCAGGGCCCCTGGGGGACAGGGCACTGCCATGGGGCACCTGCTGGCAGGCTGGCTTCGCACTTGGCGGTGGCTGCTGCGGCGAGGGTCGCCACGGAGCAGACGGGTCCTGAGGCAAGGGGCCGTGATGGATTTTCTCCGTTGTCGGGACCTCGAGACCCCCACGGGCCCCGGGCGTGTCGAAAACGACTCGGGATGAGAGGTAGTCTTAGGTCGGGCCTGTCCCCCATACAAGGGTATTTTGAGCGAGAGTTGCAAAAATACGCCCACAATGCTCCCAAATGGTTAAAACTAGTAGAGAAATCGTCCCCTGATGATCTTTTGCTATTTTTGAAACTCCTCCTGTAGAGGGACAGGCCCCACTTAGAGGTAGTCTCTTTGGAGAAACCCTGGCGCCTAGGACACCCCTCTTCCCTTTGCGCCGAGATGGGGGGGGGGGGGGGGCGGTGGGGCCTCTCGGAAGATGTCACGGAGGCTTCCGGAAAGGCCCCTCAGAAGTTAAGATCGGGGAGGCGTAAGACTCGGGTACGGGGGACTCGTGCCGGCCTCACGGGGGCCATCATGAAAACGACGAGACCCAATCTGAAACTTGACGCGGGCTCCCGCTGCAGACATCCCACGAAACCTGGGACCGTCGAAATCCAGGACGCCCTCGTCCCCCAAAAAGTCGGCAAACCCGAGCTCCGGCCTATTCGAGTCTTACACGTCGTTCATTTCTAACCGTGTTCATTTCTAATTCTGCTCGTTTCTAATGGTTCCTGGCCCCCCAGTGACCAGGAAGAGGTCCAGGATAGAACAACTAGAAATGAAAGGATCTTGGCCCCCGAAAAACCAAGGAGTTTTCGAAGAACTAGAAATCAACAACACGCACGTCTCCCCGAAAGGCAAGGGGGCTTCTGAGAGGCCCCCCGCCCCTGCTCCGACGGCCGCCCTCTCGCACCACATCCTCGGACCTCGCCGACGACGAGAACGGCGACGACGCCAGCGGCACCGTCAGCGGCGGCGCACCAGAAGGCCCCGTGCATTGTTCGGTTTCGTGCGTATTTTTTTGCTCGATGGTCCAGGATGGTCCTCGATGGTTCTCGCCGAGAAAAATGCACACGTCCGAGCGATGCCAAGCCCAGGGGGTGTGTGCCACATGCGGCCGCCCCACCCCGTTGCGGCGCCCCCCTCGCACGCTTCGTGGCCCCGTCGGGAGCTCAGCCGAAGGCTCCAACTGGGGGTACCGCACGCGGCTGCCCCCCCCCCCCCCATTGCGGCACACCCCTCACACGCTGAGTGGCCCCATGGGGAGCTCCACTGAAGGTCCAGGGGGGTGCACCGCATGCGGCCGCCCCACCCATCTCGGCACACACACACACACACACACTCCACACACGCTTCGTGGCCCCATAGGGAGCTCCTCCGAAGGTCCCAGTGGCGTTGTCCACATGCGGACGCACCACCCGTTTCGGCCCGAGTGGCGGTGTCCACATGCGGCCGCCCCACTCATTTCGGCACACCCCTCACACGCTTCGTGGCCCCATGGGAGCTCCACAGAAGGCCCCAGTGGAAGTGTCCACAGGAAGCTCGCCCAGTCGTCACGAAACAGAAAATCTGGCGGGAATGTGAAACTCCACCGTTTGCCCACCCGACCGTCAGTGGGAGACAGAACTAGTGGTATCCAACCTCATTCCTCGGCAACAAACCTCTTGAATCCAAATGGGTACGGACCAGGAGGAGGAGGAGGAGGCGGAGGAGGAGGAGGAAGAAGAGGAGGCGGAGGATGAGGAGGAGGAGGAGGAGGAGGAGGAGAGGTGGGGGTGGAGGAGGAGGAGGCGGAGCAGGAGGAGAAGGCGGAGGAGGAGGAGGAGGAGGAGGAAGAGGAGCGGGGGAGGAGACGGAGGAGGAGGAAGAGGAGGAGGATGAGGAGGAGGAGGAGGAGGAAGAGGAGGGAGAAGCAGGAGGAGAAGGACACGACGGCGAGGACGACGGCGGCCGCGACGGCGGCGGCGCCCCCCTTTGGCGCGCCGCCGGTCGCCCTCGCATGCGCGGGGGGGGCGCCCGCGGCGCTCCCGTGTAGGGCGGCGGCGGCTCGGAGGGTCGCCCGAGGCCCTTTGGGCCAGAGTTGTCGAGGGGGGCGGGGGAGGAGGAGGGAGGATCGAGGGAGGAGGAAGCAGGAACGAGAGGGGGGAGGAAGGGGGAGGAGGAAGGAAAAGGAGGAGGAGGAGGAGGAGGAGGAGGAGGAGGAGGAGGAGGAGGAGGAGAGGCTGGAAGGGGGGAGGAGGAGGGCAGGGAGAGGAAGGAGGAGGAGGAGGAGGAGGAGGAGGAGGAGGAGGAGGGAGGAAGGAAGGAAGGAGGAGCAGGACGGGGAGAAGGATGAAGAACGAGGAACTCATGGCTTGCTCGGAGGAGGAGAAGGAAGAGGGAGGGGATGATGAGGAGGATTTCTGGTCTGCGTCTCTGGTTCAACCGCTGGCTGGTCAGAATATTATCCCGGCGAAGGACCCAACCATATGCAGTTGTGAGTACCGCAATTGTGAATATCTTCTTCGGTGGCGCTCCCTATGGGGAAACGAACCGTATGAAGGTGTGCTGAATTGTGCGGCGTAGCCTCTGCAGGGGGGCTTCCCTGGGAACCTCGACGGCAGCGCCCGCGCGCCGCGACGCCCATGTCGGCACGCCCCGCGCGAGGATCGCGCCCGCTTCCTCTCCTCCTTTTTTCCATGTCCTTTGCCCGCGCACTCCAACGTCCAAGGCTGCGGGCGCAGCGCCATGCGGAGCCCTCGCGACTCGCACAGGTCGCCCCGAGGGGGTCGCAGTGACGCGCGCGGTTCGTCCGCTGAGCGGAACAGAGATTGCTTGCTGGCTAACTCATAGCGCGCATGGCTCTGGCCGCCGGGCGGAGCGACGACGGGCGAGCGAGGCGCTGCACAGAGCGCAGCGCGGAGTTCGGGCGACGCGCGCTGATCGCCCCGAGAGGGTCCCAGCGACGCGCGCGGAGCGTCGGCGGCGCCAGGCCGAACAGCCGGACAGCCAAGAGAAGAAGCGGCTGGGGCGGGCCGCTCCTCAGGTCAGGCCTCGCGGATAAACTCAGTGAAGCCGAGGTCCTTGGCGAGGGCCGTGGCCTCCCTCCTGCACCGCTTCGTGCGCGCCGCAAACTGCCCAAGCTGCTTCCGCAAGCCCGCCGGCGGCCCGGCCAGGAAGAACTCGATGCGCGGCGCCCGCATGAGCAGGAGGTCCTCGTGTCGCGTGGCGCGCGAGAGCAGCACGTAGAGCTCCAGCCACCAGTCGTCGTCCTCCTTCTTGCCGTTCCCGACCTCGTGGCGGCCGCAGTCCAGGATCACGCCTGGGCGACGTCGGCCGAGGGAGCGGTGCGCCCGGCAGCCGACGGCCCAGGAGGTGGGGAGGTGGAGCGGCAGCAGCAGGAGGGGAGGCTCTCAGTGATTCTTGGGAACGACAGGGCTGTTTTTGTTCTTTTCGTTTTGCGGTTTTTTTTTCCGAACTGGGTGTGGGTGACGCATGCGGGCGGCGGCACTGGGGCCTTCGGTGGGGCTCCCTATGGGGCCACGAAACGTGTGAGGTGTGTGCCGAAGTGGGCTTAGGTGACGCATGCGGGCGGCAGCACTTGGGCCTTCGGTGGAGCTCCCTGTGGGGCCACGAAACGTGTGAGGGGTGTGCCGAAATGGGTGTGCGGGACGCATGCGGGCGGCGGCGCTGGGGCCTTCGGTGACGCTCCCTGTGGGGCCACGAAACGTGTGAGGGGTGTGCCGAAATGGGTGGCGGGACGCATGCGGACGGCAGCCACTGGGGCCTTCGGTGGAGCTCCCTATGGGGCCACGAAACGTGTGAGGGGTGTGCCGAAATCGGTGTGCGGGACGCATGCGGACGGCAGCACTGGGGCCTTCGGTGGAGCTCCCTATGGGGCCACGAAACGTGTGAGGGGTGTGCCGAAATGGGTGTGCGGGACGCATGCGGAAAAATCGTGTGACGACGCAGCAGCATGGGGCCTTCGGTGGGCTCCCTATGGGGCCACGAAGCGTGTGTGGGAAATGGGTGTGCGGGACGCATGCGGGCGGCAGACTGGGGCCTTCGGTGGGGCTCCCTATGGGGCCACGAAACGTGTGAGGGGTGTGCCGAAATGGGTGTGCGGGACGCATGCACGAAACGTGTGAGGGGTGTGCCGAATTGGGTGTGCGGGACGCATGCGGGCGGCAGCACTGGGGCCTTCGGTGGGCTCCCTATGGGGCCACGAACGTGTGAGGGGTGTGCCGAATTGGGTGTGCGGGACGCATGCGGGCGGCAGCACTGGGGCCTTCGGTGGGGCTCCCTATGGGGCCACGAAACGTGTGAGGGGTGTGCCCGGGACGCATGCGGGCGGCAGCACTGGGGCCTTCGGTGGAGTCCCTGCGTGTGCACGCAGCAGCATGGGGCCTTCGGTGGGGCTCCCTATGGGGCCACGAAACGTGTGAGGGGTGTGCCGAATTGGGTGTGCGGGACGCATGCGGGCGGCAGCACTGGGGCCTTCGGTGGGGCTCCCTATGGGGCCACGAAACGTGTGAGGGGTGTGCCGAATTGGGTGTGCGGGACGCATGCGGGCGGCAGCACTGGGGCCTTCGGTGGGGCTCCCTATGGGGCCACGAAACGTGTGAGGGGTGTGCCGAAGTGGGTGATGACGATGACGATGACGATGATGACAATGACGATGATGATGATGATGATGATGATGATGATGATGATGATGAGATGATGATGATGATGATGATGATGATGATGATGATGATGATGATGATGATGATGATGATGATGATGATGATGATGATGATGATGATGAGGATGATAGGAGGGGAGAGGAGGCGGAGGAGGAGGAAGGAGGAAGGAAGGAGACGCGGGGCACCGTCTCTTCAAAACGAGGACCCAACACCACAGGATGGTTGGGAAAAAATGGCATCCAACTCGCCAGGTGAAACCGGAGCTGGACCCCAAATGGTGCACAGCAGGCGCTGATTGAGGAAAACCGCACTGGTGCGGACATTCGCCGCTTGCGCCAAGACAGATCTCTAAGAGGTGCACAACGGAACCTCAGCGACGAAGCCGACGGGACGCGTCGTTCCCCGGCGCTGAAACTATAGGGAAGTCGCAGATCTAGCACATATCCTCCACTATCCACTCACCTAAGCAACCCACTTCCGCATCAAACAGCTTGGCTGGCACCGGCTCGAGGCGTCGACAGATGGGGGTCCAGGGAGACAGGCTGGCACGAGAGCTCAGCGTAAAGGGACGGCCACCGTGTTCTCACATTCTGGCATTCTCGCAGATGCGCGCCAGCCTGCCACGGAAGGGAGGGAGGGAGGATAAATGTAACGAGACGGACGGAAGAGGTTGGGACTCAGACCTATTGCCTCCGACTCGCACCCTCTGTCTTTGCACGACAAGCGAAGAACGGACAAGTCGGACCCCGAGACTGGCGAACTCAGACAATCCAGTCAGGCGCCTGGCCAAAAGACCGGCGTCGAAACCAGCGTGAGAGGACCCAATTCACACGGTCCGCCGCCCTGCCCACTGGTGCCCCTGGTGGTAGTGAGAGCAAGAATGATCTTCGCACCCTAGCCCAGCACGATGGACAAGACCACGACGGCAACACCAGCGGTCTGCGCACTAAAGCGCCGGATGGCACTACAACTAGCCAACAATGCAACAAAACAATCTGGCTGAACTGCACAGCAAAGACTCGGCACGGGCACCAAGGAGTTCTGCCAGCGGTGCTTCCACCATCATGCCCAGAACCATCCCACCGACAGACCCCTTTCCTCAAATCAAGCAGCTGGGGGGGCAAGGAGTCGCGCACAGGCTCGGCCGTGTCATGGGCGCTCGGCCATCCTGGGGGGGGAGGGTGGGAGGGAGGGAGGATAATGTACCGAGAAGGAGAGAGTGAGACCGGGACACACATCTAAGCCCTCCAGTCTCGTGAGGAGGGCAGAAACTATAGAGAGGCTGAAGTCTGGGACGCGTACCTGACAGCTCCGGCACGCTTGCGCCCCCTGCATGTCAGTGTGACAACACGAGAGCACAACAACCAGCCTGCCCGAGAAGGGAAGCGAAGACTATTCGGCCACCGCGCTGGGACGCAGGACGAGACTGCGGCGGAGAAGCGACGCGACTATCTGCGCTCTGGGCCGAGGGGGCAGCACGCTGCGAGGACAACGCGGCGGCAACCGGCCTTTGGAGCCCGCTGCTCGCAGAGCGTGCTCGGGTGGACACTGCAGACGCTCGGTGCTCCGCCTCCGCGCTTGGACGTGGCCGTCGCGCACCTGGCGGCGGCGGCAGCGCGCCGCCTGGCAACGCTGGTGGCTCTCGTGGGGGGCCGCTCGCCCGGCAGGCGCAATCCGATGCCGCAGCGGTGCCCGTGACGCCGTCGGAGGGAGAGGTCGGGCAGGGGATCAACTACAGAATTGATGTACCCCGAGGTCGACTTGTCGTCGCATCTGGAAGGAAAAGACATCGACGACTGCGGCGTATTCCTTCGGCGATTCGACGACAAACATGTATTGGGCAAATCAATTCTGCATGCGCGATCTCCTGCTCGGAGAGGGGCGCCGGCCTCGACCGAGCCCCTGGAGCCAATCACGAGGGCCGCGTCTCGGCACGGCGCGGCATCGGGCCGTCTGCCGACGGATGTGTCTCGGTACAGCGCGGAACCCGGGGCGAACATGGAGCGGGGAGGTCGGCGGTGCAGTCCACGAAAGCGTCGAAGGCTGCAACCTTGCAGGCGCCGAAAACGACAACAACATGTCGCAACGGCGCCAGAAGCCCCTGTCAGGCCCGTGCACCCCGCCGCGGCTGGCGGGGTCGCCGCACTCGGCACCGCCTCGCGCGCCGCGGAGGGCACGAAGGGCGGGCCCGCCCTCCGCGGGGCGGCCTTGGGCGGGGGCGTTCAACTGTACGTCCGCAGGCATCGGCGCGGCACCAGCAGCTGCAGCATGGTCCATAGCCACGCGCTGCCGATACTCACACGACTCCTAAAGCGACGCCAGCGAAAGGAACTCCTGAGACCGCGGCGTTGAATTTGAGACCTCGAGAAGTGCGAACGAAAGCGTCGCGCAGCGACCTTGTGGGCGTAGCCGAGCGGACTGGAGATATCGGCATCGCCCGTTT